TTACCAAGTACACGGCTCAAACACATATAATATTCTACCATAAACTAAAAAAGTTACTTGACATCGCTTTTTTAGAATATTATTTTTCACACTTCAGAGCGATAACTAATTTTTGCAAAAACCTAAGTTTTTTTTTTTTTTTAATTAAAAAGTTATTAAAAAGATACATATCAAACAATAAAACTTTTATACATCAGTCACTTCAAATATGTAGTATCGACAGAATCTAAGATGTATAAAAAATAATTGCGAAAAAATCACGTTTTTTCAATCGTTAAATTATATTAAATTTAAAAATGATGTTTCAAATGTTTATTCTAAATTTTTTTAATACAAATTTTATTATTTCAAGGCTTGTATGATTAAAATATTTAAAATCAAACTGGCATAGCCAATTATTTAACCATTGTATTGTACATTTTAATGACAATTAAGTACTTTTTTTTTTCCCTTCTACAGAAAATTTGAAAGAATTTGAAAATTTTTTTGTTCGATTTTAAGGTATTAAAATTGTTAGGACGCTTCTTTAAATAGATGATAACCATCTAAATTTTGTTAAGTAAATAGCATTCTAAACATGTTCAATTATAGCGATGGTATGATTTGTTACTAAAAATTGTGTAATTTTGTTAACTTAATTACTGTCATGTATATATATGAATTTTTGATAAGTACTTGAAAACGTATTTTATTTTTTTATAACCACATTGTGTAAAAAAAAATTTCCAAGTGTCAAACAGAAGGTTTGAACCAATTTTGCAAAAAACGAGGTGACGTGCGAGCTTTTAACTCTGACCACGCCACCGTCTATGTGTAGGATCTGGAGGAGCTCAATAAGCTCAAGAAGGGATGAAATCGGCCGTGCATGATATAATCAATAAATTTATTAAACAATTTCATCCTGCGATTGCACAAATTCTTATTTTTATTTACCATAAAAAATTATCTTGATAACATTGGGCTTATATCTGTTATTTGTTATTTTGTTGACATTTTTAATTCTTTTTTCTATACTTGAAAAATAAAAAATAAAATTTTTTTGCATTTTACTGTTAAACTGTCTCACATTTATTCTATTTTTTTATATAATTAACATAATTTCGTTTCATTATAATTTTTTTTTTCATGATACCTAACACTAGTTTGCTTTATCATTATGTACGCGAGATCAAGAGAGTGAAAGGTTAGTAGGACAATACTGTAAAAAATTTCTTGGTTGCACAAGTTCTCATTTTCAGATCATCGTAATACATTTATTTCATAACCTTGTGTTTATTTTTATTAAATTATTATTATAGTACTTTAGATCACGCGTAAACATATTATGTAGTTATGTAAGGCAGTTTACAATAGCGTTTACAATCAATTAACTGCGCAGTATACGCTCTATTTTTTCCCCATGATTACGTGATGATTTTGTAATTGAATTAAAACATTATTAGAAAAAAATTACTTTCTATCTGTTCGCATTAGAATAAATCAATTTAATGTACATGTACAATAATTTTTTATCGGAACAAATAACAATTTAGCATAAATTGTAAATACATCGATCGAAAACAAATTTTACCTCAAAACGGTTCTCTTTGACTGGTGGTTGGGCGTAGGGTATACCTTCATAGGCATCGTAAATCTGTCCATAGTCAGACACTTTGTGATAGCCTTTGATACTACCAAGCGATGTATTAACACGAGGTCCATCACTGTTCGAATAAACAAAACTGAATAAAGTAACCAACCGTACGAGAAAGACGAGCATCGTCTTTGCCATCTCGTCTCTCAACCAAACAGTACTAAAAAAAAAAAAATTGAGCTGACGTAGTTTTGGCGCAAATCCGATATCACTTTCCCACTATCAAAGCTAGAGATAATAACAAAAGTATCTCATTGGATGTTACTGCATTATGGCAGCTAATATTATCTGAATAAATCTGAAATAGAAGTCTCGGGTCTAGTTTACAAGTGTAGATATCTTTTTTACATATTGACAAACGGATCAAGTTGTGTAATTGGAAGGAAGTTACAAGATATGATGCACTTATCAGCTGGTATAGTGGATGATAAATGAGATGCATCACTCCGGAAACTGTTTATTTGATGTTACTTACTATTTTTCTACAGTGCATAGCGATCGAACGTGGTCTCTATTTTTGTATAAAAGTATGAGAGATTCAAGTGTATTACAGAGTCTGAAATTTGACGATTTTCTGTAAATATTATAGAAATTTAATATTTTATTGATTACTAAATCAAAAAGCATTACAATTAAAATACAAACAAACGTTAAGCTTTAATTACCAATTTATTTTGATCCCCACAAATTAATTACATTTTTTTAAATTATTTTTAGTATTGCTAAACAAGTTTTCCACATTGGTTCACTTGTTTATGTGTAATGTTTTATTCATGCATAATATAGTACTAACGTTACTACAAAACATAAGAAATATCTAAACATCATCTAACAGATTTAATAATCGCATAGCTGAGTTTATTAATTTTATTGATATTTTAAACAATTGCAGTGATTAACACACTAAGTACTGAGTCATAATTTATTTTAGAAATAACCTATTTATCTAATTTTCTATGGCAGTTTTTGCTAGCTGTAAGACCTTATTTTTACT